TTTACTTAAGTGTATGTTGATACTTTTACAAAGGCCTAAATTTTGAAGAATTCATGACTTGGAAGTACTAAGTCACTGACAGAGCCAGAATCACAAGTCATGAGCTTCTGTTTGTAGGCTAGGATGTGCTCTTGCATTATTTTTAAGTTTAGCATAGATATTGTCTGATTGAATCTCATCTTACCTATTAAAAGTTATAGAGTAAAAAACTTAGTCATAGATGAGAGTTCATAGTTCATTTACTGAAACATTTTATAGATTCCCCCAAAGTCTGATAAAACTAAACTCAATAGGAAATAAAAATATACCCAAGAGGAGATAACACAGGCAAGCAATGGTGACTGATCTGCATGTGGGTTAAAATATACTAGGATTCTGTTTGATTTTCCTTGGAGACACTTAAGAGTAGACTTCTGAAACAGATTTAAATTATAGATTTTGCTAGAGTAAATAGGGCCACACTAGCCTTTTGTTTCACTCTCTTTTAAAAAGTTACTGGCTTTTGTATCCCATCTGGATGTCCCTTTGGATTCTTGGACCTTACTTTCAAAATGCACCTACTATCGTTTGCTTTGTAAATTAACACAGCCATTTCTGCTATTACACTATCAACATGAAGATAAAATTTTAAATTTCATACATTTTATACTGGGTTGTAATTTGTTTTCAATATTAAGAAGAGGTGCTTGCTTCTTAATAATAGTGGTCAGTCATAAAGACTAGAACCCAGTTCTGTTATTTTGAAATGATGACAGAGTTAATTCATAGACCTATGGCAACAGCAAGAAAAAATTGTGAATAATAAAGGACATCTGAATCTTACTCTTGATTTGTGTAAGCTGGTGATATCGGAAGAGATGTGGTTTTGAATAGAGAAAGATAGGTTAAGATTATTCTAGTATTATTTTTGTTTCTAGACTTTGCATATGTGTCTTGGTCTCATCATCTTTACACCTGCAACTTTACATTTTCATTGCTTTTAGAACTTACTTTGGTGTATGAGGAGAAATGAAAAGAGAAGGTGAAAATGCAGGCAACTTTGTATCTTTCTAGCAGTTCTTACAAGTTCCATATGTCACTATTTAAAGAGTACTCTGTACAGATTAGTGATTGTGGAGTCTAATCATCAAAGCACCAGGTGAATCATATTGTCAGGCATGTTTAAGAAATGACATACTATCTATTTCACCCCACACACTTATTCTCTTGTTGTAGTTATTTTCATGTTGTTAACCTATTTTGAGGGTTTATAAGCTCCTTGAAGTCACAGAGTATGTCAGTGTTTGCACTTTTAAGGAAGAGAATCCATTGTTCTCACCCTGTGTTAAAAAAGTTAATGAATACACTTGTATTCATTTGTTCATTCAATACAGTTGACCCTTGAACAATATGAGTGTGAACTGTGAGGATCCACTGATCTGCAGATTTTTTTTCAATAGTAAATACTACATGATGCACTTGGTTGAACCAGCAGATGTGGAGCTGTAGATACAGGAAAACTATGGAAGGCTATGGAAGGCCCACTATTAATTATACATGAGTTTCTGATTGTTGGAGGGTCAGCACTCCTAACCTTTGCACTGTTCAACGGTCAACTGTATATAATAGTATTCTTTTTAAAAATATGTACCTCTAAGTTAAGGAACACTAGAAAATATACTTCATACTTCTTGCTAGATCTTAAGCAACCAAACATCAGGAATTGTACACCCTCTTGTTGTTCAGTTGCTCAGTTGTGCCTGACTGTTTACTACCCCATAGACTGCAGCACACTAGGCCTCCCTGTCCTTCACTAGCTCCCTGAATTTGCTCAAACTCATGTCCATCAAGTCAATGATGCCATCCAACCATCTCATCCTCTGTCGTCCCCTTCTCCTCCTGCCCTCAATCTTTCTGAGCATCAGGGTCTTTTCTAATGAGCCAGCTCTTTGCATCAGGTGGCCAAAGTATTGGAGCTTCACCTTCAGTCCTTCCAAGGAATATTCAGGGTTGCCTTACTGATATGTATTTATGAGAGGGAACTGTCCCTCTCATAAACACTTTTGCACGGATGGACTTTAGATCTGAGTGAATATGGGCCCAATTCCTTGGACCTGGTAGGCTGCAGTAGTAAGTAAGCTATGAACTCGTGCTCCACATTTACGTCCTTTAGACAAAAGATGTTTTATAAGACAAGAGCCATTTACCTAACCAACTTATTTTGTCTCCTTTGTCAATCAAAATAATCAACTGCAAGGACTGTAAAACATAACTGATGTATTCAAATTATTTTCAAATAATTTCTAAGTAACAAGAAAGAATGAAAATATCCCTCCATGTTATGAACTGGAGTGGTTAGACACCTAAAGAAGCTAAATCATCTCTAGTTTGGCTTTTTTTACAAAGGTCTCTTCAGATGGTGATTTCCATGTTAAAAAAACAACTATTTATTCAAAGAGGAAAGGTGTATAGAGTCTCCATGATGAAGAGACTTCCTGCAGAGTAACCTTAAAGAGAAAAAAAAGACTAAATACTAAGCAACAACGTTTCCTTGCTTGGAAAAGAAAATTCTCTGACAGTGTTCTTGTATTCTTTGTCTTCCCCCAAAATTATGACCTGAGGCCAGTAGGAACAGAATGGAGAATTAAGTGCACAATTACCAAATTGCCCCTTCAAAAGGTATTTCACCAACCACTGCAAAAAGTCACTCAACTGAAGGAAGTATTTTAAAAATTCACCTAGAAATAATAGCAAAGTAGTTAGCAAAGTTTTGCATTCTGTATATGTCTTTCTTTATCAATGTATTTTTTAAAAAACCGTGTTAGCCATTACAAAGCTATTGTTCATTCCTATGGTTCTAGGACAATAGGGGTAGGAATCAAGACCAAGTGATAAGAGTCCCCAGTACTCTTTCCATGAAGTCATCACACTCCAGACTCATTGGAAAACTACTGATTTTCTTGGATCAGTTTAATCCAACCCAGAATTCTCTGGCTTCTGGAACCTCCTGAGACTTTCAGAGGGGTTAGCACTATTGTTCTCAACCCTAAACTGTTCATCAGAATCACCCAGAGAGTCATCCAGGGAGCTGTAAAGGTGTATAGATAATGTGATACTTCTTCCAGACATTGATGATTCATTTGTGGTGGGACCCCTATTAAGTGCTTTCTGAAAGATGCTCAGGAAGTTCTGATGTGCAGCAAATGGCTGAAGATGACTTATTTGGATATTTCCAGACCAATTTACAGAGCTCAAACATAAGGATGTGGGTAGGGGTGGTGGGCATCTCAAGAGCTGTAAGTAATAACACCATATTGTAAATATATAAAATGGTGTCAGAGTAGTCTGAAACAGTTTACTCCCTTAGTATCTGAGATTTCTAAATCCAGCAAGCACATGGGATATTATTCAAAAACAATGTCATTAAGAATTTGACTGCCAGGAAATGCTTGAACACATATAAACTGTCACTGGGTCTGATCCCAACAGATGTCCCTTTTAGACACCTGTTGGAGTGAACTGTGCCACTGACCCTTTAAATGGGATGGCGTTTTAATTTTCCAGAAGCAGGGACCCAGTTGGAATGCTAGAAATGCACATTTGTTGCTTATGTTCCATTCTAGTAAACCATCTCCTGAAGTATTATGTCAATCTCTTGATTGTGTAGTTAATAAGTCTACAAATAGCATTCAGATTGACTAGCAGTCTTATTTATAGAGGTGTAATGGAAGGAGTTGATTTCCCATAATCAGCTAATAAGGAGAAGCAATGTTATTTTTACCTTCTCATGAGTCTTTCAAGAATTGATGTGTGAAAAACCAGAACTGTCCTCATAAACTGGAAACTGTTGAAAGCTCACCTAGAAAGCTATTTCACATTTCTCCCAAGTGGCGAGTCTGAATTTGTGTTAGATTACAATGGAATAGCTAACATGTTAGCACAGCTTAACACCAAACCTGCCTGTGGATGAGTCTTTCCAAAACCTGACATAAACAAGCTGTGTTAGTATCATTATTTCAGGCACTCATCATGTCTATCTATAGCATACTACTGAATCAGGTACTGCCTGGTTGAAGGTCATGGATTACACATAGCTATTCAAATACTTTATTTTTGAGACAGCTGAATTACTCCCTGACCTGACTTTAGTGAGTGGGAGGATCATCTTTATGCCTTCCTGCCCTTTCTAAAAATAGTAGGGCCTTTTAACAAGGAGATATTTTAAGCAGCTCATATTCACTTGTCTCATCAGGAGACACTTATTTTGGCCACTTGCAGGCGTCCAATTTGCCTGTCCGAAGAGTTAGACTATTGAAGGCTAGTCTGTGCTCCTCCACGCCACTCATATAAGAAACTGGCAAGCCTAAAGACACTGGGATTACTAGCTGAGAGTCAGTGGGTAATCACAAATGAAGGGAAGACACTTTTTAGGAATGTGAATATGCTTCTGAAACCATCCATGTCAGATATTTCCACATCAGTCCTCAGCTTTTTGGATCTGTTTTCATAAAACCTGGCTGTGACTGCACTCCAGAGACCTCAATGATCTTGCCGCTTTTAATAATTATTAATAGGAGCCACTGCCAGCCTGTGGATAAGGGAACCTAATGAGAAACTGCCATCCAAAACCTGAACAGCAAAAAAAAAAACAAGCAAAACCAAACAATCCAAAACAAAACCAAAAAAGAACAACACAAACAATCTGTGCTCATAAGAAGACGCGTAGAAAAAACACCAAGATGTAACTTTGATTTGATAACTGGATTTATCAGTCACATGACTGGCATGCAGTGGGTACTTTGTATTTTTCTACTTTGAAAAAACAAGCTCAAATCTAGGTTATTCTGCACAACTGGGACCAAAAAAAAATTATGAGTGTGAGAAAACGCAGACTCTAAAGGCAAGATGGAATTTAAGCAGGTAAACCCTGTTTCACAGTCATGTCATTCCGGTACAGTTGTACGTGGTACTCGTGTTTGCACCTCTAAGAAATTTCCATTTTTTCGCATCAAAAACTCCAGATATGAAGCTGAAGCTGCTTTCTTCGCCAACCTGAAGCTGTCTGATTTCAACATCATTGACACCCTTGGAGTTGGAGGTTTCGGACGAGTAGAACTGGTAGGTAATCATTCTTTAAATGCTTTTGAAAGTCCTGTCTTCTTTTTTAAATTTTTTTCTCCCAAAGATTCTTTTTTCTTCTCTATCTAATCACTCATTACTCTTGTTCCTAAATCTGTACCAATACTTTCATATCGGCATATCAGAGTTTTCAACAAAGTGAACTATATTCTGTACTCATTAAACAAAAAATAAACATCAATTTCCTTTTTAGAAAACTTCTTCATAATAAATGAAAGGTAAACACATATACTTAATGAGGAGTCATAAAGCACTTTTTACCCAGCTGACACTCTATGATCTTTATTTACTTCCTAAGTTCTGAGCAGTGCTCACTAACTTAATTATGCACTCTGTAATCATAATAATTAAAATATAAATTTATGTATATATAAATGGAGATGAGGTATATTTACATGTAGTATATACCTATGCATATAACATACTTATTCTCACCACTGCTTTAAACATTAAGTAAATGGTATAGTTAATCTGTGATTCTGTAGTTAAATACCTATTGGGATTACAGTTCATATATATATAACTGTATTAGATAATATGGTTTGAATATTTTATATATTTCACACACTAGTTTATGTACACACAGAACTAAGTGTTAAGATGAAGAAGACATTTTGATACAAGTTTATACATTAAACACATTGCATCAGGATGGAGTAAACCAAATGAAAGCATGTTCTATTGTGTCTGTTTAAAATATAAATTTAAAAACTGACACATTGCAACAAAAACTAGAAAAAAAATATATTTTAGTTGCTGCATTCCAGACTGTGTAGATAAAACCATATTTGAGAATTCGATTAATGTCCACCTCTCCTGAACATGGAGGAGCCCCTGATATTAGACACCAGTACAGTATGTTAGGAACTCCCTGAGACTGTGTACAGTTCAGTAAATAGTTACTGTTGCCATCAGATGACAGGAGAAATCCCCTTCCATAAAAGCAGTTTGATCCAGTGCTATTTTTTATGTTTGTCCATTTGTGCTGCAGCAGGGATTTTTGAGTTGGATAGGCACAACTATGTTATTTACCTAAATATTAGACAAGAAGTGTTTAGAGCCATAAGGTATTGCATTGAACTTGCATTATGCTTCCCTTAACACTGGCTGGAGATACTACAGTAATACTGCTTCTGACTTCACTCCTGACTTCATACTGTGCCTCTGGGGATCAAATATTTTCAGTTATAGGAGTAAAAATCAAGTAAGGGCCTAGGAAAAAAACCTCTTTCTTTTCTGAACCCTGCTAAATTAATGCAATCTTAGATTTATTTTTCAAAAATATTGATTTTGTGATGAAATATAACTTCATATAGCTAGTAAAGACTTAATGACAGTGTTATACATGAACATCTTTGCACTGGGGAGTGTTGGGACATAGAGCATAGAACATAACGCTCCTAATCATGAAGTGTTTATTGTCTGGTGTGTTTATTTATATTGTTCTTTGTGTCTAAACCCCTCTATGAAACAGCATAAAGGACAGAATCTCCTTGATATTAATTTTATGACTGTTATAGTTTCTTCAATATTATTTTTTAAAGACTTTGTACAACAAAAGAGCTGTTGACCATAAAAATATCAACATTATAACTCTGGTCTCCTAAGAGGTCTGATAACTTCAAACTGGGAGCCTTTGAGTTACCAGTGAGATCTTTTATGAAATACAAGAATTTACTTAGGATTTTTGAAATATTAGAAATCACTTAAAGACACTGAAACCCCTTCAAGCTACATAATCAAATGCCAAGCTGATAGTGGAAAACTTCTAGAAAATTCCCTCAAAAATGTGAGGAGGCACAAACCACCACCCAGCTAAGGAAGGTTTAAAGTAGACAGTTGGTAAGGAACCCACCTGCCAATGCAGGAGACTCAAGAAACACAAGTTCAATCCCTGGGTCAGGAAGATCCCCTAGAGACGGAAACGGCAACCCACCTCCAGTAATTTTGCCTGGAATATCCCATGGGCAGAGGAGCCTGTCCATGGCGCTACAGTTGGCTACAGCCCCCAGTGGGGCTACAGTCCACAGGGTAGCAGAGAGTCAGTCAGGACTCTGCTACTTGAACACACATGCACGTCCACACAAAGTAGACATATTAAAGGTACCGCAGTTTAAAAAGAGAAAATTTATATGTATTTGTATGCAAGTGCATGGTTGAATACATACCCATTTATAATCTTCATCCCAGGAGGGAAATCAGAAGTAGTTCACCCTTTCTTCTCATGGATATTATATTTCACACTTTTACACAAATGTTTGTAGACTAATGGAAATCATATAGGTTATAAGTAGGTATAATTAGTACATCCCAGGTAGAAGGGTATGTCCTTAACGTTTGAAGTGACATCATCTTGTGTGATCTTGCACTTCCCAGAACAAGTGGGATAATCCAACTCTCCAAGTTATCTTCACTGTTCAATGTAGACTAGCCATTTCAGTGATCACTATTACCCTAGAATCTACTACCCCAGTTCTTTCCACTTACTAACTATCCTATAATATTAATTACTGGGTATGAAAAATATTCTTCTCTGTGATGGTTCATTTTTACATGTATTTGGTGATTCCAAAATTAGGAGCTTGACCTCAACACTTTGACTGCAATTACACATACTGTTGTCATAGCTGATGATAGGGAATCATGGTGAGGACACTGGTGATCAACCCAGGAGACTGTAGTGTCCCATTAGAGTAGGACTCACACCCTTTATAGGTAGGAGGCAGGTTTAGATAGAGCCCAGTTCTGTTGTGATTACAGAATTTTCCCCTTCACTCCTCTCTGCAAATGGTGCATGTGAGATATTTCTGTTGATTTTTATAGAGTGCTATTTTTACGCAGTATATCCTTCACATGAACTCATTTTATATATGTATACAGAGTAATACACATGTTACTGAACCACGAAAGACACTGGGATTCTTGGCCTCCAGACAAGAAGAATTCAATTGGGACTAGAGATGAGGCTTGATCACGCAGAGCTTTTGTGTAATAGAGGAGTTTTATTAAAGTATAAAAGGGATAGAGAAAGCTTCTGACATAGACATCAGAAGGGGGCAGAAAGAGTCCCCCCTTACTAGTGTTAGCAATGGAGTTACATACTTTTTAACTACTTATTACAGTGAATCAAAAGAATGTCTGGAGGTTGTAAAGACCTCACTAGACCCACACCCATAATTTACATTTTAAGATAATAGGAATAGCCAGAAGGTTTTTTTTCCCAGACACTATCCTCAAGCAGGATACATTATTGTTATAAGCCTTAGGAATGTAGAGAGAAAAAAAGTTTGTCCTTTCCTCCTCCTTGAGAATTCCAGACCCTTCTCTCCTTGGGGACACTCGGACTTCTTATCAACCTGCCCAAGGCTCTCTCATTCCCCCCTTTTCTTTTAGGAGAATCATGTTGACAAGGGAAAGGGGCATCATTTTTGTTCCATAAGTACTTCCTGCTGTCTAGGGGCATGGTCCCTAAATTGTTGAGGCAACATATTCTCCTAACCCTCATATTGAGGGTCTCTGATCCAGGGGCCCCAAGTAATAGTTGGAGATTGTGGCATGCATAGGAGCTTGGACAACCATTTGTAACTTAAAAGCTTTTAGACGGTTAGAAAACCCCAGTATACAGTTACAGATGTAAGGCAAAATAGTCTTTAAACCAAGTTAAAATCAAAATGAAAAGTCACATTATGTCCATAGTTACATCAGTCCATCTTAGGATTGTTAGATATCATCACAGAGTTGAAGAAAGTCCTTTCCTTGAAGTGGAGAAACCCACCATGGGAAGTCTTCCACTAGAGGTGGGGAGTGCTCTGCGGACCCAGCAATTAGACCGATTGTGGAATGTGGGGTAGGAATGAGCCAGGACAGGAAGGCGTTGTCTTGAGGGGCAAACAGCAGACTCAGGATCTTTGGAGTCAGCAGAAGTAGACTCACATAGATTATCAGGCCCATCTGAAAAGTACAAAGTCAGAGATAGAAAGTAAAGACATAAAATGACAGCTGTTTCTGGTCAGGGTGCCACCTCTTAACTCAGGTATGATGCACCCACGAATCAATTCCTGGAACTTTGACAACTGTGGGAGAAGAAAAAATAACCTGGTGAGGGCCTTCCCAGAGGGGCTTGAGAGGTTGGCCCCCAGGTCCCAATGTTTTTATCAGGACCTTGGTTCCTGGCCCAAATAGAGGCTTGCTTGACTCAGAAGCTGGGTCAGCAGTCACCTCTTAGAATTCCTTTAACACCTGTTGAAAAGCTGAGAGCTGAGTTACATAATTAGTTAATTCCATGGCTTTAGGAAAACTTTTCCATTGAGAATTTTCAGGAATTAGTAATCATCCATCCGCAGACTGTAACCATCCTTTATCAGCAATCTTTGCTCCCCTTTTCTCATCTCTCTCTAATTCTTCCTCAGTATATTGTGGTTTTTCCTGTTGCACAGGACTGGTCCAGATCAAGGGTGTCTGCAGTGAAGGGATTTCAGTAAAGCACTGCTTTTCTGGCTTGACAGTCAGCCAGCTGATTACCTTTGGCTACTTTACTCCCATCACTGCTGTGCCCTTTGCAGTGCATAAGAGCTACTTCTTTAGGACAATGTATAGCAGTTAAAAGTCTCCTGATTTCTCTGAAATGCTTAATAGGTTCTCCTGTTGCCATTTTAAACTGTCTTTCTTTCCATATAGCACCATGAGCATGTAAAGTCAAATAAGCATACTTAGAATCAGTGTAGATATCTACTAGTTGCCCTTTGCTTAACTCTAGAGCTCAGGTCAGAGCCACAAGCTCTGTTAACTGAGCACTGATTCCCTGGGAGAGAGATTTTGCTTCTAAAACCTGTTCAGCCGTCACCACAACATAACCTGCTTTATGCTTTACATCCTGAACAAAAGAACTGCCATCTGTAAATATTTCCATTTCAGGATAGTCCAATAGGGTATCCATTAGATCCTCCTGAGCTGCATAGTTTAAAGTTAGAAACTGGGAA